GAAACAGTGTTGCACCATTTCTTTTTCCTGATATATTTCCATGTCTATTTTTTGCTGGATAATGTCTTTCCTCATGAGAGCCTCCTACATCCCCATGATAAAAAGAGAGAAAAGAGTGAAGTCTAGCTAACATGTTTGATACATATTGATGGGCATTTCTTAACTACCTCCTACATCACCGGTGATGCATTTCTATACTATTGATGGGCCGAAAAATTAGAATCCCAAACATATCACTAAACTAACCATGATGTGAGTTGGAGGTAATCATGCAGATACATATTTGAATACAAAGCTAGCATCATGCTTCCTCCATTCCAAAATATGGCAATCTAGTACTATATTAGATGTGACCTAGTACTGCGAATTTAGATAAACTAGCTTCTGTTCAGATTCATAGTATTAGGTTATGTTTAATCCAGTGCTAGTTTACTATATTTTAGGTCGGAGGGAGTACTTTTTTGCAGTTTGCCCACTCAAACTCCTTCGGCCATTGTAATGCCTCTCTCTACCACCACAATGTTTGTGATATATCTTAGAGACAATTATGGAGTGTTTAAATGCAACATATGCATCATGCCTTTTTTTGGTTTGCCCCCCTCCTTTTCATGTTGCAAGGTACTCCTTTGCCCCCTCCCCCCCCCACCCCACACACATTGCCATCCAGTTGCCTTCTACTATGTTGCCGACACCCTCGGCAGAGATAAGACCCCTAACTTATCCATTACCAAGGGTAATGATCCTCACTCTCTCGGTTTGTCTCGTGTCATCGCCCTACAGTGCTATGGAAATCTTGCTAGATGCCCTCATTGGTGCCCCTCAGGCCAGATTTTGTCCAAGAGGAGGTGGTACCAATAGCAAGAGATACTTATGGTGCATGTCTCTCAATCTTGCGTGTTGCGAGAATACTTTCTTCTTGACCCTATTGGAGAGGTATTTAGTGCAAGAGAGACCATGCACGTTATTGCGGTTCTTATTTCTCATTTGCCTTCTTTCAATCGACTATGATTTGTTTAATGGATGTTGGTTGCAATTTGTTCATCGTAACATGTGGATAAATTAGCCGCATTCCTATCATCATTGTGAGTAACTTCTTGGATGGTAGCGAAAATAGTTCTTGTAGCTTTCATTGCTGTGTTGGATGCTATTGTATTGGTCAAGGGATAGTCATCAGCAGAACTGCAAGTGAGACAAGGGGACAATGTGCAGGTTTCTCAAAGGCAGGATGATTGGATAGATGATAGCGACATTCTTACTCATTATTACTTTAAAGTAGAACAAAGCATCCAATTGCAAGTATCCAAGTAGTTACTCCCTAAGTTTCATATTATAAGTCATTGGACTTTTTTTCTATCAAATTATGTTATATTTGACCCAGTTTATTGAAAATAATTAGTAACATTTACATCACCAAATTAGTTCCATTAAATTTAGTATTGAATATATTTTGATAATATGTTTGTTTTGTATTGAAAATGTTAGTATATTTTTTTTATAAACTTAATAAGTTTAACTTAAAAAAAAGTCAAACGTGTTAGACAATATGAAATAGACATAATGTTAGTATCACAATGGTTAAAGAAAAACAAACAAATAAACTAGCAGGGCAAGCTTTCGTTTATGGGCTAGTTAGAGCTAAATGTTATGATTGAGTTTCGCGAAGGGAACAATATGTTACTTATAAGCATTTTTAGCATAGTGACAAGTTAATATTTTTAACTTTGACTATTAATAGAAAAAAAAATAAAAAATATCAATCAATTAAATTGATGTTATTAGATTTATCATTAAATAAACTATCATAATATGCAACCTTTTTATATAAAACATTTTACTTTTACTAGAAAACATGCTCGTGCGTTGCAACGGGTAAAGACGTTTTTTAGTGATATATTAAGAAATATTGGGATCACTATATACATTATAATTGAAAAAGTTAATAAAAATCCTAACATTGGGATCGCTATAGATTATAATTAAAAAAGTTAATGAAAAACTTTCCAGGGTTTTCGGCAGAAGGCCTTCCTTGCTTTTCAGCCCTAGACTACATCAAATCCGGCCGAATCTTTCTCGATCAGCCAGAATTGATTGAGGGTTTTTGATCCACTCAATCTACTCTTTCCGTTTTCCCCCAAAATCAGAGCGTAAAACTCAGGATAAAAATGACCAGAGAAGATCGCCGTCATCATTGGAAAGTGTTAAACGGAGATTAAATCTAGCAAATTAAAGCCGAAGGAAAATCATGGAGGAAATGATGAGAGATGAATGAGGAATCGATTTTTCAATCAAATTGGAGAAAACGCACGATCAATATGGCGGCGACGTGGCGCTAGGTTAAAGTGGGAAGGCATGCGGCGAACAGATCAGATTAAAAAACCGGATGAGAAAAACAAAAGGCGCATAGGAGAAAAAAAACCGGCGAAAAAAATTGACAAAAAAAAACCAAAGGCGCCCGGGATGCGCGCGGTGAACAGATCGGATTAAAAAGGCCAGGAAAAAAAACCAAAAGCCTTAGCGTGCAAAAAAATCAGAAAAAAAAACCTAGTGCCAAAAAAACCAAGCGGACTTTTTTTACTGGGATATTTTTTTTTCCTTAAAAAACCAAGCGGACTTTTTTTTACTGGGAGACTTTTTTTTTTCCTTTTTCATGGGAGTCGGACAATTGTTCTTTTACGATGAGATGTTTTTTTTTCTTTTTTTATACTTACAACAGAAGCTTTTTTATTTATCGCTTGTTGAGTCGGACTTTTTTTTTACCTTTTTAGTCAGACCTTTTTCTTTCTTTTCTACAACGACAGAAATTTCTTTTTTTAAGTAGAGATATAGATTAAAATGGAAGCATAAAATTAAAACCGATTCAAACATGAATGACGTACCAAAATACCGGTAAAAACATCTTTAATTTTTATAATAGTAGAGATAGAAATGTATGGTTGGTCAAATTAGTATTTCGTAGACTATATCATAGATCAAAAATACGGAGGGAGTACCTCGCCCTCGCAGGGTGCCGCCTCCCGTGGGCACTGCTCGAGCCTCTGTCCCGTTGTTCCTATTGGATCGGATCTGATAGCCCATTTTGTACTAGCCTATGTCCTGATCTTATTGGATCATAGGCTTAATTAGCCCGGAAAAAAAAACACGCATAGAACTGATGGGAACATTTAGTCTTGAAAGAAAACAGATAAAGATCAGGCCAAGACAACAGAAAACAAAATGATTAGGGCATCCACAACGTTATAGAAAAGATAGCATTAGGCCTTTAATATCAGAATAGTACAAAAATCTTACCATTCTGGAGTTACAGAACAAGCTTCATGCTAAAAAATATTTTTGGATCGGCTATACATTTTACTCTTAGGTTTTAGACCAGCCCAGCCCCTTCCTTTTCAGTCTCCGCCCAGCCCACTACCTCTCTCCCTCTACTTGGTTGTCTCTCTTTGACCCAACTCACAAGTGGAGCTGGATAGCCGGCCCTCTTCAACCGCCGAAAGACTGTCTCATGTCCATATGATGCCAAAACCGATCCTCCTCATCAAATCCGATCGAATCTTTCTCGATATTCTAAAATTGGTTGAGGGATTTTTTATACACTCGATCTCATCTTTCTGTTTTTAATTGGTTTAGAGTTTTGATACACTCGATCTCCAAAATCTGTTTTTATTAAAATCGGAGTGAATCCTAAAATTCACGATAAAAAATGACTTTCAAATGGAGATTAAATTCAGTGAATTAAAGCGGAATTGAAAGGGAAAATCATGAGGAAAATGACGAGGGAGTAGTGCAACATCAATTTTTGCAGTTAATCAGGCATGGGGAGGCAGATCGATGTGACGGCGGCGCTAGGGTTTGGCCCGACGACGAAATAAATATGGCAGATAAAAAAATAAATCCTACCAAAAAAAAAGCGGATGGAAAAAACTAAAAAAAGGTAACAAAAAGCGGACGGAAAAAGGCGGAGAAAAAGATGGACGAAAAAAATAGCGAAAAAATAGACGGATGGAGAGAAACAGTAAAAAAGGACAAAAAAAAAAAAGAGAAAAAACAGGGAGAAAATGGACGGACGGAGAAAACGGACAGAAAGAAAGGAAAAACCGAAAAAAAAGATGGACGATTTTTTTTTCCGGAAGCCTCGCGTATTTTTTAATTAGGTATAGATAGATACTGATTTATTTTTCATTCAAAGGACTAGGTATCCATTTTTTAGACTTAGTGAGATCCAACAGGACTCACTTTTAAACTCCTCCCACACACATATTAACCATTGTAGAGAGAGCCATAGATATTACTATATACACATGGGCCCACTCTTATTATCCATTGAGACATACTCCCACTATCTAAAATAAGTTTATTTTTCACCCATCCCACACATACCAATACAACAACAAAAAGACTAAAATACCCTTTATCAAATCTCAATATAATTATTTTATACTTTATCTACTCCTAGCACATTTATTCCTTACTTTCACAAACTCCAATACAATGGTTACGTAAAAAGAACCTTATGATAAATAGGAGAGACACAAATAAACTTATTATGGAACGGAGAGTATACATTAGCCTTGTCCTTAGCCCATATCACAACTTCATATCCTAGATTACCGTAGATTACAAAACATTCAAATCACAATAGCGATATACTCCCTCCGTCCTATAATAAAAGGGATTTTGGGTATCATATTATGGGAAGGAGGGAGTATGAAACATCTCTAAAGCCTTCTTCGCCTCCTAAAACAATGCTCAAGGTGGCTAATCAATGACTCTGACCTATTTGTCGATCTCTTATAAATGACCTGAATACACTACTATACGCAAAATATATTTATTTGACATATTTTAGGAAAATTCTAAAAAATAAATTCGCACAGAACACATCGTTTACGAAAATCGAGATAAAATAATAGGGTGTAGCTATATTTATGGCGAAAAAAGAAATAAACACCAACTAAAGCTATCCACAAATACTCCCCGATGGGCCTCATAGGGTGTGGATCCAAAATCTAAAACAAATGGGCCTTTCCGGTACTCGCATCCCGGCCCATCCGCCTCGTCAGCGGCGGCGCACCACCATCCCCACCCCCACCCTCCTCGCCGGCGTCTTCACCAGGCGCTCCGCCTCCACGTCGGCCACCTCGTCGGCGTCCGGTTGCTCCACCCGCCCACCAAACTCGCCGCCCACCACCCCCACCACCGCGTAACCGCAAATGCCGCGCCCCTCCACCTCCGCCTCCGCCACCGCCTCCCGCTTCGCCGCCTTCTGGGCCGCCGACGCGCTCGCCGGCGACGACGCCCTCGACTTCGCCGTCACCAAGGGTAGATCCACCCCCCCCCCCTCCTCTCTCGCGCGCGCTCTCGTTTGCGTCCGTTTCTTCTTCTTCTTCTTCTTCCTTGTCTCACACTCTCACCTAGGGTTTGCCTTGCCCGCCTTGCCCCCGCAGCGATGGTGGGCGTCTCCCCGGATTCCGTCAGGGCCGCCCCTGAGGCGGTGCGGGAGCGCGTGGCGCTGCGGTGCCTCCAGGAGGTCGTCTCCCTCGCCTCCTCCGATGGCGAGCGCGGCGCCACGGCCTCGGCCATAGCGGCGCCGGGGGAGGGGATGCTTGGGGTGGAGGACGCATCCCGCACCTGCGAGGATTTGCTGCTTCAACTCATCCGGGAGGTGAGGTATTCGGCGCAACGCATTGACATATTTGCCTCATTCGATCAAGTATTAAGTATTCGTTTACTGGAAAACTCTGCAATTCGTTTCAAACTATTCGTGAAGACAAGGTGATCCCCATTCGCATGGTTGGGTACATTTCTTGAATAATAGGGTTATTGGTAGCTTGGTTCAGACACCCTTTCTATGTTTTGAGCTCATCCATTCCAGTGATATGAAACGGCATTTTCACCCTTTGACTTGTAATCTGCTCAGCACCTTTTGAAGAATATGTGCTTAGATGAACCTTCAGATCTCTAACCAATGAGTTGTTCACTGATGCATGTTTATTATGTGCAACATTGCTAGGCAAGACCCAGATGTTTTCTGAGCTCAAGCATTCTGGTGATATGAACATGATATTACCTCTAGCATTTTTTGTCTTACGTATTCCCAATTGATTTTGGTACCTTTGCTCTAGTTATATATAGCATATGCTTATGAAGTCTCAAAAGATCATTGTTGCTGGGAAAGGGGGTATACTGTGGTAAATGTTATTTTTCACATGATTATTGGTGGCCTGAGTGCTCCATGAATGCTTTAATTTGTGCAGGGAAAAGGGGAGGCTGTGCTAATTTTTTTTTAAGAAAAGAACTGTGGGATTGATATAAATATATTGCTAGCTGTGTTAAATATTGTTCCTCACATGATTATGCATGTATCTACTGTCACCCTTTTAATTTTTTTGTTGTTTGCTTGTGATTAAACCTGTTTTTTCTCTGTGAAACAATATTATGCATATGGTTTATTCAAGTTTCGAAGCTAGTGTGCTGCAATTTGTCTGTAATACCTTCCTGGTGTCCAGATAATTTTGAGGTTTACTTTACATAATGTAAAATTTTCAGGTTGGTAGCTCAGGGAGCTTGGAGAAGGATATGCTTCCGCCCTTTAGACAAGATATCCAGAAGTTTATATGCATAAAGAGACCTACATTACCAGAAACTTCTTTTGAGTTGGTATGTTAAAATGCTGTCTTTCACATCTGAAGAAAGGACTTCTGTTAAAATTAGTGTGCTGCTTGTTTTATGTTCAGCTCAGAAAAGTTTACCCAGAGATTACACCTGTGGTTCCACCATCCCCAGTGGAGCAGAATGGAAATGACCAACACGACAATATCAGCCATGATCTTGTGAATACAGAGAAGACCGGATTCACTACAGATGGTGCTCAACTTCAGCAGGATGATCTAGCAAATTTAGTCGATGAAAGAAACACAGAAAATCTTCAGAAGGATGCAATGGCAACTTCTGATTTTCAACAACCATGTACATCAGACAATAGGTGTTTTGATCAGCGACAAGAAGATTCTATTAATACTGTTGGTGTCAACATCAGGTCTCCAGAAGACAGTCCAACTAATGTAAATAGACACATGTCAGTTGCAGCTGAGCCTTCTTTAGCTAGTTCTGCAGATTTGCTGGGAAGTAATACAGGAAGAATGTCTGAGCAGGACACGATAGATCATACAACCATAGTTCAATCACAATCTTGTGGGGTCAGATATCCTAATAAACATCACAGTAATAATGGAGACATGCCACTTGTTGCCAGCATTCAGTCACCAAAGGATTCCATCCATGAAGGATCAACCATGCAGACAACTGTTTCTCCAGCTGTTGACAGAAGCAATGATGCTTTACCGGCATCCAACATGACCCACTTGCCTGAGTTTATTGCTGTAGAGGATAAAATAATGACTTCAGAACCACACTTCAGCAAAACTCATCCAAATTCAGGGCAACATGATACTGGTGATAAAGCAAATCAAGATGTGGGTTGTGGCAGTACTGGTATTCAGACAGCTGCTGCTTTACCATCTGAAGGCTTTAATGGGGATGTTCAAGGAGACAAATCTGAAATTAAAGATCCAGCAGGGAATACTACACAGCATACTGAAACTTTTGAACAAGAAAATAGTGACAAGGCTCATTTGGAAGTTGGTTGTTCCGACAAAGTTAATCAAGCTCTATATGATGATGGCAACATCATAAAAAATAATATGGTCTTTGGTGGGCTGAATAAGCAAACTGCTCTAGAGTCTCATGGCTGCAGCATGACCTTGCATAACAGAAATTCAGAGGCCAACCATTTCTCTGAGCAGAATATTGGAAGGAACAGAACTGAAGTTCAGAATGATTGCTGCAGTATTCCAACCTCTCCTAATGATGTTAATGACAAGCGAGCAAAGCAAGCTTCAAACAAGGAAACCATGGCGAATACTGTGGCAGAAACATTGCATGTGCATTCTTCAGATGGTAGTTTCAGTGGCTTCGCAGCTGGTGGTCTTCTGTCAATGGCTGAAAAACTACCGTTCTGTACTCAGGATCAATATGCTAATGGTACTGTTGAGGGCTTGTCAGAACAAGAGTTGTGCATAAAATGTGGCAAAGATGGTCAGTTGCTGAAATGCAGTGGCTGTTTTTTAGCCGTTCATGATACATGTTTTGGCTCATCAGTGACATTTGATGATTCTGGTCAGTTCTACTGTCCTGTATGCTTCTATACTAAAGCAACTGAAGCATATCAAAAGGCAAAGAAAACATATTCTGAAGCAAGGAAGAACCTATCAGCTTTCCTTGGTAGAAAGCAATTGGCTGAGCAATATCAACAAGCTGCAGTGCGGCAAAGAGCTGCCAACAGTGAGGATCATTTCAATGGGTGTAACAACGCAATCAAAAGGCAAGGTAATCATCAATCTGAAGGAAATAACCTTTCTCATAGGGATGAAGAGCCTGCCCGACAGAGGAAGAAGCAGAAGACAAATGCTAGGGATGCTTGCACTCAGGAAGTAGTCACTAAAAAGGCACCCACTGTTCATAACTCTGATGTTGTATCCATGAAAAAGAATTCTGTACTCCAGAATAACAGAAAACAAGCTCAGGTTGCAGAGCAGGAGCAGCCAGAGGAAAATGCAGAAGCTAGTGGAGAGTCTGGTAATACAAATTCATCGCACAAAACAGCACATTCATCTCAGAACAAGTGCAGTCCTGCTGCAAGTCAGAATATTGATGCTGACAAAGAAGATGTCCTTGCAAGTTCTCAACAGTCAGAAGATTCTGATGAAATCGAAGCTACATCTTCTAGTGACCCTAGCAAGCAACCATCGCCTCATTGGCGCAAGTTGAGACACCGCAAAGCAAGATATCAGGATAATAATACAGCAATTCCAATTAATTCTAAGAAAACACTGGGGCACCATGATCAACATATGGCTTCACCATCAAGGAAAAGGAACTATGCATATCCACCCAAGCGTTAGTAAGTGATATCAATAACTAATAAGCTTCATAAGCACTTCTTTCTCCTTTTTTTTTTTTGAGGAAACTTCTTTCTCCTGTTGTACTCCCATTTACTGCCAGTTTGCATATAGCCAAAAGAAATGGTAGTTGAACACTCTGATTTAGACATGTCTATGAATTGTGGTTCAATGGACCAAATGAAATTGAACACTCTGATTTAGACATGTGACAAATAAAACTGTACTGTGAGAGTTGGTGGGATAGAACATTGAGTATCAGCGCTCTTGCAAGTTGCAACCAAGTTTCCATGAATATTCATGGTTCAATGTCATAGACTGATAGACAGCATCATGCAATAGCTTCCATATGGTTTAAGAGGACATTAGCTTTATCATGTAATAGTATTGTAAGATGGAAAGCAAATTCTTAGGAACCATTGATCCAAGAAATCATATTTAGGATATTGAAATTAGACTCTACTTGTGGTCCTGACATAGATAATGGTTTTTTCTTATTATTCTCTGATGCGTGAAAACACAAGTATATACAACAAAAAGGGAATCATCAATGGAAATTTTGACTCATTTTCCTTACAGGACTTCAGTGTTTGCTTAGCACAGATACCAATTCGGATGCTTCATTTGTTGTATTTTTTTTTCACTTGAAAGTGTGACACTTTGGTAGTAGTATCAAGAATTTAAGCATGCCTTTTTCTTTCAGCTCTAACCCTGTCGGACCAGCTGGAAGGCGCACAAAGCTCTGCTGGACAGAACAAGAGGAGGCAACTTTGAGGGTAAGCACACTTGGTCTGTATAATCCCTTTTACCTTCACCGATATCCTGCGCCATCTTCTGTGGCCCAGCTAGTAAGTAATGCGCATACATGTGTCTCTTGTATGCTTACACAATTCGCGGGGTTTTCATTCAGGAAGCAATGGCAAAATTCACCCCAAGTGACAACGGGCCAATTCCGTGGGTCCAGATACTGGATTACGGCAGGGATGTGTTCCACAGGACACGCCTCGCATCCGACCTGAGGGTGAAATGGAGGAACATGAAGAAGAAAGCAGGCTCATGACCGCCAAAGCAATCTTAGCTTACCTATCAGTGCAGGCTGTGCAGCAATTCTTTTTTTAGATAATGGATTAAATAACCTGGCCATTGTGCCATGCGCATTCTAATATCTTAGTTTTAGAGCACATTGTGTGTCACCATCTTGTAAGATTGTAGATTTTCCTTGGTGTGTAGAACACTTTAAGTTTTATCGTTCTTTCTTGGTACGGAGAACGTGGCTGATGTGTAGGCTATTTTCGATGTTACAGAGGAAGGTGTAAATTTGTGATTGAATCGAAATATCAAACTTCATTTTCTCTTCTGCGTCACAATGTTGCTGCTGACTTCTCCCTGTTTATAATTTGTCCTGACCATTTTCCATATGAACACAAATTTTCCTTCACCACTTCTGCATTGCACCAACTCGCCTTCATTAACATTTAATAGTAGAGTCATCAGCAAAAAGAAAAGAATTGGAACATCAAAATTTGTTTTGTTGTGTTTCTTTAGCAAATAGCAACTCGTGTACGGTCTCCACTTCACATCAAACATTTCATTCCGCCCCTGCCACCCCCAGCAGGCAGCAGCCCATCCGAGGTGAAGGGCTCTCGGCCTGCGCCGCCGCCAGGCGGGCGAGGCAGTATGGAAGGGGATTGAGATCCTCTACCCTTATACCCATGGTTCCCAACTTCGCTTTCTCGTTTTTCGCACGCATATTTTTTAAACTGCTAAACGGTGCGTCTTTTGTAAAAAATTTCTATATGAAAGTTGCTCAAAAAAAATCATTTAATCCATTTTTTAAAAAAAATTAGCAAATACTAAATTAATCACGTGCTAAGCGCTGCTCCGTTTTCCATGCCAGAGAGTGAGGTTCCCAACCCTCACTCCCGAACAAAGCCTAAGTCACATAACTTTAAGTCACTGATATGTAGACCCTCTTTTCTATGTACCCACATTTCAGTGACTGTAAATTTACTTGATTTAAGGCAGAGAATCTCAATCTGTATGGAAGAGGGGAGGGTAGTGCCGTAGCAAGTTGCTATAATTTCTAAGAAAGTGGTACCTCAAAAAAAATTTCTAAGAAAGTGGATGACTAGCGTTGTATTTTACCTCACGGTGAGCTGGCCTAACCCGTTCCACCTCTCTAGTGCAATTTTTTTTAGAGCGCTTCACCTTGTTTCGTTTTAGTTTTTGTTTATTTTGGACAATTTGGTTACCAAACAAGTAAATCGGATTTGAGAGACAGCTCTGCCAAATATGTCCTTACTCTCACATTTGGATATGGTTGTTTACTTGCCCAAATGTCGACTACAAAGGCTTCATGATTGGTAGACTCCCACAAAAGAGCCTGACATTATAAAAAGCCCTCCAAAACATGGCCAATGGGATCTTGGCCCATTAAGGCCCTCTTTATTTAGGCTTATAAGCCGAAAAGTATAAGGCTAAACAAACAAGCAGCTTATTCGTTTGGTTTTTTTTTTTTTGAAGCCGTAAGCCACTCTAACACTATTAAGCCAAAAATTATGTTGGAGAAGCTTTTTTGGCTTATGTGAAGTAGATGTATGACTCCACTACTAAACTTAGGACATTAAATCCACCGGCTTATAAATCATATAAGCCAATAAGTTAACTTAAAAGTCTAAGACAATAAGTCTAAACCTAAACAAAGAGGGCCTAAGTTGCAATCATTCATTCAAGTATGGAATAACTTCACTTTAGGTAGACTTATTCCTTCAAGCATCAATCCCTTCAGCCCATAAAAAGACTTACCAGTTATTGCCAAATTGATGTTTTGTTGAGCTTGTTCTTGATTTCTTTTTTTAATATAGTTTGGACCTTTTAATTTGTTTATTTTAAAAATATACTCTCGACAAACTTAGGCTAGTTTGACTGGTGTGGTGAAACAACGCAGCCACGCATTCCGTATTCACTGAGTAGATGGTGTGGTCAAAAGATTAATATTTGAAAATAAGTTTTTACAGAATTCGTTTTTAAAGTTAAAAGGTTCAAAACATAGTAGAAATTCCTTGTTCTTTGAGTTTGGATATTCAAATACCAGCAATAGCGTACAAGTGCATGCAACCATCTTCAGAAACCAGTTCTATGAACAAACTGCACAAAGTCTCCTCACTAATGTATATATTTCGAGTAACACTATGCTTTTTATTAAACAACTCTATCATTTATACAGCATCTATATTTTTGTATGCTACACTGATCTCCTAGTATAAGATCAAAGAATGGGGGTTACTGCCATATTGCATTGTGAGTTTAAACAATAAAATCTTAGATCTGATCCTAAGAAGCTAGCATTTTAGCATTTACAGCAGATTCACAAGTATTCACTGTCCTATAATGCTAACCTTGTGTACAGATCATTTGGGGACACTGCCTGAGTTTATAAATTTCGATTTCATACAAAGATCTACAAAAATCACAAAGGGTGATCAGTTCATCAAAAGAATTCTGTGCAACCTGTAACTTGTAACCCTGCTTCCACTACAAAACTGTTGAGTTCCTAGAGTAGCATGTGGGGGGTAAGATTTCCATCCTTCTCACAATAGAGCACCAAAATCTCCACAGGAGCACCGGCCATCCTTGAACTTGTGAAGCCGTTTGCTGTCCCGGACAATGATTTCTCTGTTTTCAAGTAGCGAAAATAGCTTAATGGAGCTGTGGCAGTCCCTGCACATGGTGATGTTCTTCGTGACGCGAACCGTGGCACCTGGAGGTGTTTGCAGCAGCCCTAGCGCGACAGCTAACCTCTCACTGTGGTGCTTTAGTGATCCAGCGGCAGGTTTCTCATCATCCTCGCTATCAGATAACTCTGCATTCTGATATGGTTCATACCCAATGGCTTTAGCTTTCTCCAACAGATTCTCCAATAGTTGATACAACTCAGTTGCTTGAGGATGAGTTCTATCATTAGCTCTGAAGAAATACACCTTGTCTTTTATCGTAATCCAGCTGCGGTCCCTAAGAATCCCAACATCTTCCTGTTTCATCAGCTTTCGTACTCTCGCCACATCCTGCCATCTCTCTGTGGAAATGTACATGTTCAACAGCAGGATATAGGTTTCAATCCCTTTTGGCTTGAGCTCAAGCAGCTTATCGGCAGCGTAGAAGGCAAGTTCCATGTTTCCATGGCTCCGGCATCCAGCAACCAAACTTGACCAGATGGCCTCATTCGGCTCAAAACCTGTCCTTTTGATAAAGGAAAATGCATCCTCTACCCGCCCCAACCGCACAAACATGTCGATCATGCACCCATAGTGATCCACAACAGGTTCAATACAATACTCTTTCTTCATCATGTCGAAGTAATGCTCAGCTTCCTCAACCAAACCCGCATAGCTGCAAGCTGAGAGCAAACTTACAAATGTGATTTCATTTGGCCTCACCCCAGCTAATCTCATTTCCTCGAAGAGTTGTATCGCCTCCTGAGGTTGGCCATGCTGCGAGTAGCCTGAGATCATAGAAGTCCATGTGACAAAAGTTCGTGTTGGCATCTCAAGAAAGGCTTTGTTTGCATCTTGAATACACCCACATTTATTGTACATATTCACCAGTGCGCTGTTCACCACAACATCTGACAAGAAGCCACTCTTTATCGTCTGCGCATGGATTTGCTCACCCTGCTCCAAAGCCATCATGGCACTGCAAACAGATAGGATGCTTGAGAAAGTGAAAAGATCCGGCTTCATCACAGACCTCTTGAGGTCGCGGAAAATTGTGAGCGCCTGGAACCCTCTTGATCGAGCCTGGAGATCATCCTTTGCTGAGTCCATGATCTGGGCATAGCCTGAGATCATTGCATTCCATGTGATGATGCTGGCATCCTCCATCTGTTCGAACAACCGCATCGCCTCATCAGTTTCACCCTTTCTCAGATAGAGGTACATTGTCGAGTTCTTCACTGGAAGATTTGTTTCACAACCAATTTTGAAGGAGAAGGCCTGAACTTGCTTTCCCAGGTTAAGATCCAGCCTTGTACCACACAAGCTCATGACACTTGTCAATGTGAACTCATTCGGCATCACCCCATCCATAAGCATATCGATAAACAAGCTCATTCCAAGCTCCACGCATTCCTCATCCTCGGCACACGCAGATATCATCGTCGTCCACGTGATCACATTCTTCTCAGGGATCCTCCAGAACGCCCTCAACGCAGAATCCAAGCTCCCCAACTTGGCATACAGACTGCAAAGCGAGTTCCCCATGCTCGTGATCGACTCGGCCCCGTACTTAATCGCATACCCATGAACCTGCTTCCCCAAATCGACATCGCACGATGCCAGGCACGCGTTCAGCGTCGCGCCGAGCGTGTAATGCGACGGGTACCTCCCCATCTCCAGCATCTCGACGAACACCTCCAGGCCCAGCGCCGGCTGAGAGTTGAGGGTGTACCCCGTTACGAGCGCCGTCCACGTGACCACGTTCCTCTCGGGCATTCCGTCGAACAGCCTGCGGGCGTCCCGAGCCGCGCTGCACCGCATGTAGGCGTTCACCAGCGACGTCGCCACGAACATGTCGGCGCTGGCGCCCGTCTTCGCCATGTGCCCGTGCACCGCCCTGGCGGCGCCGAGGCTCCCCGTCTCGACGCACCGGTGCAGCAGCGGCACGTACATCGCTGACTGCACCGCCTTGCCCTCCGTCAGCATGGTCATCGCTTCCTGGACATCCAGAGGTCGAAGGGGAGCCTCCATGCCGCCGCCGCCGCCATTGTCAGCCGCCTGCAAGCTCCTGCCATATGAACTATTCTGCAAAACAAAACAGGAAAAAAAAAACAATACAATTTTCATATAGCGCAAATTAATCCTAGCTTCTTCTTCTTTTCTTTTTCGCATTATTCACATTGCTAAGCTAATTGGTGGCAAGAATGCGATCGATAATTAGCGAAGTAATCTTCGAACTTAAGACCTAGAAACGCTCAACATTATTCACATTCAGAAAAAGAAAAAAAAACAACAACACAATTTTGACATAGCGCAAATTAATCCTAGCTGCTTCTTCTTTTCTTTTCGCATTATTCACATTGCTAAGCTAATTAGTGGCAAGAATGCGATCTATAATTAGCGAACAATCTTCGAACTTAGGGCCTAGAAAATGGGAAGTCCCAACAAGATTCGAGCTCTTTCTTTTTTTTAGAATGCAAGCTAGGCCACAGGAAGAAAAAGAAAAAGACCTTGTCGACGATGGCGACGGAGGGCGGCGGCGGCCTGCGGGGGTCAGCGGCCGACGGGAAGACGGCGGCGGCGGCGGAGACGGAGAGGGAGGGGGTGGAAGCCATCGGTCAGAGGGGAGTGGAGGAGGAGGAGGGAAGCATCGGCGGAGGAAGCCAAGGATTCCTGTGGTGGGAGGAGAGTAGGGGATAAGTTGTCTGGCTGGAGATAGACGACGGATGCTGATGAGAGGTTGCTGCTTGCTTGGCTTCCGGGTTTAACTGGATTTTTCATAGTTTTCTCTAAATTTATTTCGGATTTGCTATACTACTGTCGACAGTTAACAGGGTGAAAACTTTCAAATTTTAAACCATTTGATATGCTTTGAGATTTTTGTGCTGGTGGAGGAAAACAGAGAAAAAAAATCAGATGCATGCACCAAGGATCGAACCCAACACCTCCAACAACTTGCAGGTTTGTTCAACTAACCAGTCTTTTCTGAGTTACACCCGATTTACATATCAATTAGTTACAAAGTATTTACAATGTAATTACATAATAGTTATAATGTAATTACATAGTAGTTATATTTAAAAGTTTTTCATCCAAAAAACCGTCGACAGTTCTACAGCTACTCCCATTTATTTTCGTTACTATTCAGATCCATAATAGTACTATATGTATCCAATCTGACTATAGGTTACTCTATTTTGGAACGGGGGAAATATGAACTAGACGTTTATATACACATGCGCGCACTCGTTTCTACGAGCATGATGCAACGTCTTGATATCGATGAATATGTTGTCACGCACACTTATCTTTGTGAATGCATACACTCGGCTTGTTTATGGGCACATCGTCTATCGCTGAAAGAAAATTAGTTGTAAATCAGTCAAAAAAAATTGAACTCGTACCCAAGTTTAAGATTTGAATTTGGATGGACACTGGACATGTTCCACCCCGATGAACGAGCTGCATACACTCAGTTCACTTAACAGTACTCCCTTAAATTTATACTCCCTTCGTCCCATTATAAGTGCAGCCATGGTTTTCCGCGCCAAAGTTTAACCGTCCATCTTATCTAAAAATTTTGAAAAAATTTAAAAACATAAGTCACAAGTAAAGTATTATTCATGCTTTATCATCTCATAACAACAAAAATATTAATTATAAATTTTTTTTAAATAAGACGAACGATCCAAGTTAGGCATGGAAACTTATGGTTGCACGGGATGGAGGGAGTAATAAGAATACTATTCACTTTCAAACTTTGACTACCCTTATTGTTTATGAACACTAGAAATAATGGCATGTTATGAAAGTTGGGTATATGCCCTAAACGTAAGCACAAAACTCACCTTGTGTAATGATTTAAGAGCAACTAATGATCAAACTTTAAATAAGAAAATTAAAATTGTCAGTTATTAAGAAATGGAGAAAGTAATAGTTATAATAAGTGGGAAATTTAATTATTTACTAGGCTTAGCAATTATCCAAATGTTCTTCCTAGATTTTTTTTTCACTGTTAAGAGGTGGTTTCTTTATTATTTACCACTTTTACCCATGCGGCAATCTAGTGGTAAAAGTCGGTGTGAGACCCGCTAGTCACTCTCACAATTGTCCCCTTCCACTCTCCCTCTGGTCCGGCGTGTAGCGCTCTCAACCGCTCCAGCCTATCCTCCTCCCCTTGATCGATCTACACTATCGACTATTGTCTAGCCTGTCATTTGGTCATATCTGTTGCCCGCACCACTCAAGAGACCTCCCGAGCTCAGGATAGGGGCCGCGGCTACCAAGGACGACATGAAGCAGCAGCGGCATAGGAGGCGGCGCTAGAACGGGACGGAGTGGACGGGGAGGAGCGGCATAATCGCCGGAGTCACTAAAGCGGCATCATTTGGCAGTCGATGGCAGGACCACAACACGATGGCCCGGATGCCTGGCAACGGCGAACGAGCTCCAACTGTGCGTAAGCCGCCGTCACCATGGGCATCGAGCTTGCAACGCTTTTCCGGGCTAATCCCCAGGCAATGGTGACCCATTCGCCATCTCCGGCATGCCATGGCCCATGAACACCGTTCGGCTCCACTTGCACAGCCAAACATTGACCAGCCCCCCGTGCTCCTCCACGGTTATGGTGAGGCTTAATCCGCCGCAGCCATCGGCGGTGTTGCCCCGAGTGCTCCTACAACTGCTGGCTCTAGACTGGGACAACCACCTTCGTGTCGTTGCCTTTATGTGGCTCTCATAGTCGTCAATGGCGATGACAATGATTACCGGGCACTGGTGCCACTGCGTGCTCAGCGCTGCACGCCGAACCAGAGGGAGAGAGGAAGGGTGAGACTGACTAGTAGGCCCCACACTGTTTTTACCCTTGGTTGCCACATTGACGTGCCACATGGGCAAAAATATTAAAAGTCGTTTACGTATAAAATTGATCAAACCTAAAGAATTTTGACTAAAAAAAAGTCAAATGGCATATAATATGAAACGGAGGGAGTATATAGTTAAGATACCATCTCTTAACGGTGGAAAAAAAAAATCTAAATGAATATTTGGATAATTGCCAAATTTATGTGTAACAAAATTTTAAAATTTCCACAATAAGCATGCAGTAACTTTGTTTTTTTCTTATTTTACGGAAAAAAATACACGCATAATTCGTAACAAATATGCACCACATATATACAGTTGCCGTTGCATTTGAATTTATATTTATATTACAATTTAATAATCTTGTGCAGGAATCTCTTGTAATTTTAATGGGAACTTAGCAGGTAGGTACCACTCCGTTTGACAGTAAGTAGTTGTGCATTGTCTCGAAATATCAGTTTTAAATATTTGTTCATCAATAAGATTAAGAAGTAACCATTGTATTTTTAACTCTTTGCCTCTAATTAAGTACTTCTATATAGATAACCACTTTTTGTTCGTATGTTTCTTCAGGGTTAGGGATAACGTTTGCCAATAAAAGTTGTCAAACTTATTTGAATTTCCATATTTAAAATCTTTACCGCACCTTAACAAACCTAAGCGAATCTTATCGCACTTTTCTAAGTTATTAATTCTAAGTTATTAATGTGTGCGGTTTATTGGAAAGGAATTTACAGTGGCTACTAGTCTACAACCGCTTAGCTGTCTAAGTTGGTCAAACTTATCCAATCTTAGACGTAGCAAATTATGGTAAGTTATGGCTCACAATTAAACAGGTCTTAATTTCAGTTTGAATACCACTTTTTACCAAACCTTAAACTCTTTTAGCCCACATTTCCACTTTACCTCAAGGGGATCCTAAATGAAAAATAAATAAAGGGTAAACAAGGATTGAAAGAGAGAATATGAGCGTCCAATATGTAACTTTGATCAGAAGAGTGCGTTCAGACTTCAAACTGAAAGTCTCTGTTTTCTTTTTTAAAAGATTTTGTGCTTGTTTACTCAATGTGGATGGGCAAAAAATAAAATTTCTGAGATGGAGAGAATAGATGGGAGGACTTAGCTGCTCAAGTATATATATTGGCAATTCTCATCAGGATTTAAAGTCAACTGATTATTTTTTCCCGGATGAGTACATATTCACCGCTGGATTTGCTCCGAGATTCGGGCACTGATGTCGACGTTGATTAATATGTTCGTGGGGCTAAAACAAAATTAAGCAACCATAACCCGAAACGCATGGCCACAGGTCAAACGAAAGAACAAGTCCCCCATGATTGAGACGAGAATTTCGCAGCGATGAAATTCTCTAATTACACAATTATAAAGCAGCCATGGAGTTGACGCGACTTTGGTCATGTATAATATTGGCATGTACCATGTGCCATCTTGACAAATTGTGCTATGTTTTTGAAGAATTCAAGCACACTGATTGCATTAGTTAAGCGATGTAGCGTCACAGCAACAGCATCTTATTGCTTTATTTTTTGTCAGCAAGCATAACAAAAGCCTCAGGTACAGTTTCCCAATCAACTAATCAATATTTGTTCATATCAACCTGAACAAAAAATATAATTAATGGAACCGATAACTTTTCAATAGCAAAACGCAGAATTTCTATACCAATTCAAGTAACATTTTAAAGCTTCTAAAGCCTTTTTGAGATTCCATAACAAACATTTTCAAATCACAAAGAATTAGACAATTGGTGCCAGTGTGAATTAAGTAACAACATTCAGACTTTGACACGAGTAATTAAGAAAAGCACGAGGCATGAACAAGTCTTCAGAAAACCAGTTCAACGGTTTTTGGTGTCCTCCCCTCTGTCCTATATCTCTTTCTGCTCTTCTGCTTCTTCTCTTCAGCCTCAAGATTTGTTCATTCACCTGTGCCTGCTTCCCCAATCTGCACAAGCACATAATTCTTTCTTCATCTCCATTTAATCTTTCTTCTAGGCATAAAGAGTTTTTGCTATTGGATCATGGCGGTACGTTTAATTTCTCCAATCACTTTTGTTTCCCTTTGATTTTCATGTGCTAGATGGAGAACTGATAGTGGTATGACTGAATTTGATGCTTCAGAAGGCATGCCTTTATTGGATTTATGGATCAAAGCCAACTTCGTATAGTTCAGATTTCTAGCTTTTCTGCATGAAAATTATATTTGCAGCAGCTCATTTCTACTACCAATATATACCACCGTAAAATTTGCGTTTTGTGAAAGTGTGTTCTTGCATAATTGTAAGGGGAAATGGGGTGCGTTAGATTAGAACTAGCTATTTTGCATCAACTTAGTGAATCTAATGGAAGGAGATATTCAGAGTATCAAGAATAAAACTGTTGAATAGAACATGGAGAGAGGGAACACCCCTTTTGATTAGCTGATTATTAATCCTATGAATTTCCTAGCTTAGCTGATCCCATGATATTTATCCCCTTTCTTTTTTCGTCACAAGGATGTTATGTTGGACAGGAGGAGCTAGCTGTTTTACAGTCTTACAAATATTGTAGATTTGCATTACGAAAGTTATATTCTGCACCTGTTTTTTTAAATACTTTTATATCAAAATCTTGGATATGGCAATGACACAATTGCCATCTGCAGTTTTATACATGTCTGTATCAGAAGTTAAGATCTCAAAGTATTAATTTTTTTTCTAGGCATATGCTCCATGTTTCTTCTGAATTAGATGCCAAATTCTCACCATTCATGCCAAAATACTCAAATTTAAACTTATCATGTGACAGGGCAAAGGAGGAGGGCACATCCCAAGGTTTGGAGATTGGAAGAGCAGTGATGGTGGCACCCCTTACACCGTCTTCTTTGACGATGCCCGCAAGAGGAAGAATGCAGGTGGTGTGGTGCCTCCTCCTTCTCTGGCTCGTGGCGACTCCGCACCTCCTCCTTCAGGCCATAGAACACCTCCTCACGGAGCTGGTTCTTCCACTCCCCAAAGAAACAAGGATCCCGCATCTCGTCCTCGCAGCCAAAGCGCGGTGAGTGAGTAATAACACGATTACACGACACAAAGAGGTTTCTTTTACGGTTCTTGAGGAGTTACCGTGAGATATATGACAGGGCAGTATCTTTCTAATATAGAAATGATGATACGTGCCTCGTGTTTTTTTTTTTTTTTGACGCGATACCTCACGGTTTTTTATTTAAATTCAATTAATTGATCAACGGGTGTGGTTTTTGATTGTATTTGATCAAATTGGATAGGTCGGGCATGGTGGTGGGTCTGTGCCTGCTTGGGGCCAATGGAATGAGGGCAATGCTGGTGGTGGTGGGGCCCAGCAGTACACGCTTATGTTCGACCAGATTAGGGATGAGAGGAGAGGCAGTGCTCCTTCAACGCCTACCGTCGAGCAACTCCAGCGTGCCACTCCAACTCGGTACAATCAGCACAATCAGCATGCAAATATGCGCAAGGTTTACTTACTTTCTATGTGCATTTGGGTGTGAATTTCAGTTGATCAAACCCTCCATGTTGTGCATTAGAGTATATCTAATCTAATCTTCTTGTACGTTAAATAAGACATTTTGTTTCTCAATGCAGAGATTCACATGTTTCGGACTGTGCTTGAAGTAGAGGAATCATCATGGATGGATCAAGGAAATTGTGTATTAATGTCAATGGATACTGCTTTTGTTGTGCATGTATGGAGTTATTGCTATGAGTTTTCCATCAATAGTCAAGATTGTACGTATAAAGGATTTTGATCACGTAAAATGATGATGAAGATACCATTTCTCTCACAATTGCTATAAGAACAAAATTAGCTGCATCTTGCCATAATAGTGAAAGAGGCACAATGCTAAATCCTGGCGCAACGTATGCATGAGTATAGTGAAATCCTAAAAAAACAGTTTTTTTTTAAAAAAAAAGAAGTTAGTTTGTCTGATGGTCCCATATATACCGATATAAACATACATCTTGTGTATGATTTCCCAAGAATTTTGATGGTTTTTATCCCAAAGACCAATATGATTCTCTTACAGAAGTGCCACTTGCCAAAAGGGAGTTCCGGCACTAGTCACCATGCCTTTTTACTCGATGAATGAATAAAATGCAACTTAGGGTGGAAGTTCTCATCTTGGCAGCAAAACTAAGCCAAGGAACAAGTGAGAAATGTACAACTTAATTGTTGCAGAGCAAACAACCATTAGACAATCTTGACGTTTTTCGTACATAAACTTGAGAACTGTATACTTCACTCAACTATTAGCTAGGTATAGTTTTATTCCTAAACCACTTATATTCCTTTGAACATAATACACCCTTCTCCCTTCACAAGAGATTTCAATAAGGATGCACGGTGAGAAACAAAAAAAAGAGGCATCACATCCAACAACTCATCTGTTTACAAGATATACCACCCTCTCCCCCAAAAAAACTATGCTGTAAACATTGCAGGCCTCAATTCCTGCAAATCTATTCTCCAGGAAAATGATGTCTAACCCCAACTCAACCAGTGATCTGGAGTTGCCCTATGCTTCTTCGCAGTATCCTTGTGCCGAAACTGATCTCTTCTTAGTTTGTAATCCATCCACTAACCAAAAACAGTGCGACAAGCATATGGCATGTCACGTCATCTTGCTCTGGATTTGCCTGTGCACATGCACAAGGAACTCCACATAGGAAAGGCCACCAGGTGCCTTGTCCTCTGTCAAAAATGAGCGGAAGAAATCACCTGCAGATGAATCAAATGTTTGTATTGTTAACAATAAAATTCCATGGTAAACAGCAATTGGGAACATCACAAGTGTTGTCAGAAGACTAACCAGATGGTTCACCCCTTCTGCATAGACGCAACCTGCAAATCAATCTAGAAGCATCAGCATCTGACAAAGGAACCCCTTCAAAAGACCAGAAAGGCACAAAGCATACCTTAAATAAGAACATCTCTGGCGTCTTATTTCATTAATTACTTCATTTACCTTCCGTGACAGTTCATTGTCAAATTGCTCCAACACAGCCTGTAAGTCAAATTGTTTGTTAGATCTAGTATGAAAGAAATAATTTAACATAGGAAGCACGCATTGAAGTTAAGCACATTAATAATTATCAGTAATACAGTTGAATTTGCTCCAGACATTTCAGCAGAAGAAAGATACGGTTAACATACTGACCTGACTTGGTAATGCAGCCAAAGAAGACACACCAAATATTTGTTCGAGGATGGTCGGCTCTACCACATTTCCTACATAAATTAGACCATCCTCACCATTTTCCAATAAATAGACTCCATCTTCACGTATATTTTCACTATTGAGCATAAGGGGACTAGGAATAAGTGATTCATCGTCTCCCTGAAAAAAGTTGTTTACAAATTAATAAGCCATCCCTCTCATATATAAAAGATATAAAATGGTTTCATGATGTGGCTTCTATTCTAACAAAGATCAAAATTCAATATTGACTGTACCCTTGATGTGAGATCATGAATCGGAATCAATCTAGGGAACACCAATGGAACAGCTAATAGAACAGAAACTGAGGAGACGAGGGATATCCAATATGAACGATCATCCAACCGCCCCTCATTTCGCAAGCCTATGCTTTTGATAAGCGCTGAAATTGGTAGCAAAATAATTAGTGGAGTCAATAACAATAAATGAAACAAAACGATAGCAAACTTCGTTGAAAACACCATACCTAAAGTGTACAAGGGCAGGAGTTTGAGTGCCTCTGGAAGGATCAACTGCCCAGATGAGCTTACAGATGCACAATATTTACGGTAGGACTGGAGAATATTTATACATGTATTTGTTACTTCCTCCCGAAGATGGAGTAGCGTAGATGTTGGAATGCCATTAGCAGCTGTATAATTCAACAAGGTTATTAGAGAATTTAACAAAATTGTTTCATTAAATGTTATCTTTTAATTCTTGTTTATAGGTTTTCCCAATTAAGATGAATAACTACAAAGACATGAAATTGAACATAAAAAAATTATAAATGAAATGGGTAGCAAGCAACTGTTTTACCTTGTTTCAGGAAGCATGTAAACTGTGTTTCCAAATCAGCATATCGGAAGAGATTACTGAGCATGTTTGTGCATGGGAGTGAGAGGTTCATAACTCGAATCCTTCTTTGTCCATATACAGTAGTGTAGAGAAGAGCGCACTGAAAAGAAGCCAATAATGAATGTCAGCAACATTTTCTAATGATATGAAATGATTGATGATTGGAGCAAGTGGTCCAATAACAATTTATAGCTCATCCTAGATGGTCAATGTATCCTTATCATACACACTAGTAGTACGTGGGAAAGTGATAAGACAAGTGAAAAGTGCTCAGTTTGACCAGGCATGCAAATAGAATTTCATCTCATGAAAGAAATAGTATGGCTGGAACTTTGAGAAATAGGTTTGTATTTTTGAAGTTTTGAAAATGAGCGGATAGTTATTTTAAATTTCATTACAGAAATCATAATCCTATATAGATATTTGAACATACATTTTAAAGCAATGTTCAAAAAGCATGAATGCAACTAATACTCAATCCGAATCTTTAATCTATGATCATTCTAAGTTTTTCCGAAAGCAAAAAATCAGGGTAGGCATGATATAACTTTTGAATGTATGTACCCTTATTTTTCCTAGTTGACAAAGATGTGAAGTCAATGATATATCGCTATCAGGTCCAGAAATTTCCCATGGTGACCAACCTGGTTCTCTTAAATAAGCTAGTAAACTGGCTGGGAGCCTGGGACCAATAGTAGCAACTCTCCACCAGTAGATATCTAACTATCTATTCAAAGAGCATTTACCAAAAAAGCCTAGCAATCGATGGAGCTTTATTTTCGAATGACAAGACGTGCAGGTGTTTATACTCATGTTATGTTGCTCAAGAATTGCATGGCAAAGCCTGCAATTTAGGTGTTAATCTGAACATTTCCTAATGGAGAGTTCTCGAATATTTACGATCTATTAGTACTTTAGTATAAATAATTTATACTAGAAAAAAAATATTTGGAATAGTCAAAGAATGTATCTAACTCATCATTACCTGGAAACCACATTCTGAATTTTCCTGTAACTTGTCATCGTGCTTAAAGGTGACCATTATAGTTTTGTCAGAATCAATCTGCAATATAAATTATTTTTTTTTCAGAATAGGCAAACATATAGCTTGTATCTACGCCTCAGGCAATGAAAAAACGAATCAAATATTCCAAATATAAATCAGAAACTGCATCTATGGTTGCTGGATAAAACAAATAGTCAGGATTCATTAAATTTAAATTCATCAAAGAGTCCAGATATCGGTGCCAGATAATAAAAACTTGACTAAATTATAGCCATCAACAAAGCCCTCTTTCTACAGTATACTATCAACAAAGTACAAATCATCGGATTACTTGATTTTTTTTTTCATTTTACTCCTTCATCCGGAGTAAAATGACTTATATTCCCTTGCTTAGCTCAAATCTTAGATTTATCTCAATTCCAGTAGCCCAATATAGGAAATAACTTTTGAAAGTCACTACACACGAATAATGAGGCTTTGTTGATGGTATACTACATAGATAAGGGGCTTCATCAATGGCATATAATGGATTTCTTAAAAGTATATATATATCAACCCAATGTGTTAGTAAGTGAATGAAAATTTTATGTTGTATAAAACTTAAATCTGTAAGCATTAACTGCAAGTCATTTTCATGTGTAGGTGTGAACTTTAAAACTAGTGCAGGAAACAATGGAATTCAGAGAATTGGATTTAAACAGTAACGTAAAGGGATAGGCATTGTAATAATGTCAATCTTAGTACAAGTGTTAATGTGTATTCCTATTGCTTATAATCTAAAGAAATAATGTGTCAACAAACATTTCTTTAGGAAAAGCTTCAACTAACAATTACTGAAAAAATTTCCAAAACCAATTTTACTCAGCACCACTTTTAGTTACTAACCGATGGAAGATCAATGTCAGTAGGAACACGCTTGCAGAAATTGCCAAAATAGTCCTGAACTTGGAGCCCCTGATCACATGTGGAGAAAGAATTATGTTATGACCAAACTGTAACGTAAAGCACTGAAGAAAAAAGGTCTGCCATTAATCCCACCTGGCTGCATCTGACACGCATAACAGCCTCGAAACCCTGAGGTCTACTGATATTCCATCTAAGGTCGTTGAATAGCTTGGCCGGATCCGAACGAGCGGAAAACGGATAGTAGTAGTAAACCTGTGGATTTGCATGTCAAAAAATGAAACGATATGCACCAATGTGGCTTAAATGTAACTTGTTGATTTGAGATATTTAGTTGTACCCTAAATTTCTCTAAAACCTTTAACAACTACTCCTTCTGTTCATTTTTATAAGGATTATTTTGATTTTAGAAAGTTAACCTTTGAAGCTTTTGACCAATGACTAGTTAACTCACAGGTACGTTTAGTGTATAGAACTTATACCACTAGATTAATACTTGAAGGTGTTTTCACGCAATATTGATTTTATAGCTATTATGAATATATTTTATGGGAAATTGATAATGAAATCAAGGTGATGATAGTTCTGAGAAAAAAGTATGGTCTTCACAAAATCATAGGGTGAAAACATACCCGGCCTCCTGTAGTATTGGGAACAACAGATATCGAAGCAATATCAACATATGATTGTGTAGTAAGGAACACATCCACGCAGACCTGAAAAGGGGAGAATACAACAATGATGTGTCACCACCAAAATACATGTACATCAAGCACCTTAAGAGCTAAAGAATACCTGATATTCAGCAAATTCTAGTGCCATCGTCTTGAGAGTTTTGTCAACTGGCTGCAAAAGCTTGTGGGGTTCCTGGGAATCACAAAATTATTAGTGTATCATTTGACACATTTCCAATGAAGTGATGTTGAACAGAAAGATGCATTAAATTATAACATGTTTTCATAACTACCGAAATAATGCAAATTGTGTATAGTTCCACTTATACCTTGTCACCAGTGGAAACATTTGCTCTACCTTCAGCTTCCCTAGCAGATAAAGAACCAACACCAAGTGATGGAAGCACTGTCAACAGAACAATATTGTTAACCAAAAGGAATACACTTAAATTTTCTGACATAAACAAACTATATACAAAATTAAGAAAAGCTTTTTAGCTACCACCCACAGAAGTGAATATCTGACACATAAGCATGAAAAGGCGTGGAGATATTACTATATGCACATATTTCAAATTTCAGGATAAATACTACCAAATAATCTACCTCTACTCACCGAGTTGAATTTGCAAAATGGACAGCAAAAAGGAAATAGAAAAATTCCTATGGCACTCAGGATACCTTCATGACTATTGTATTTGTGGTGTTACAGACAACAGCAGAACAGCTATTTCAAGGCAGTGTCTAAGGTGGTTTTTCCACAGTTCAGATGGCATGACTGGTGTTGTGGCTCATACCAGTGCAGGGTCAGGAGAAGAATAAGAGGGAGTGTTTGTGGTGAAGGGGGAGAGAGAAGGAGAACAGAGGTCTACATCATGTCCTCTCCTGTCATCCCCATCATGAAGCTCAACTTTAGCATATGTTGTACTCATCACCATGTATCTTGGGGGTAATAGTTCAACTTTTTAGGCCATGGGTCATATGGGCCTTTTCTCAACACAAGTTTTTATGCTTTACTAGTGCATCCTAAGTCCTTTGCAGTTGTTCGGCCTATCTGGTAGTAATAGCAGCTATGTACTTCTAGATCAAGAATGTAGAAACATTCGATAATTCCTAAACTAGAGTGTGTATGTTCAAAATGCAATAGCTATAAAATCAGAATCCAAGCAAATCAAATTGAAGCTCACCAACTAATCAACATGTGGATCAACTAAAAGAGCAGATAAGGTTCATCTTGGAATTGTCTGACTAATTTACTAGGTGTACCTGATTGAAAAACAAGTAGCTTTCCACCAGTTGATTTCATAGCCAGGAAGCCAGCCTACATAAAAATACAATAGTGAGAACCACTGTACACTCGACCCCGTGAATGCAACTATGCAAGACAGATAGGTTCCTGTATATAAGAGTGTTTAATTGGTGTACAAAGATAGCACACCATGCAAATGGAAATAATACAAAAAAAATCTTAGTTGAAAGGTCAAAGTGGCACCTTCATAGCTGCTCCAAAAGCAGAATCAGCAACTCTGTTATTCTCAAACATGCTAGGGATGCTTTCCAGCAGCTGCTCCAGATTCTCACGGCACTGAAACCACAGGATGGTAAGATGTCTAGAAATATGTTAAGCACAAATAGCCAAAAGTTCATCCATTTGAATGCAAACCTCAGAAACTGGAAGAATCAAATCCTTTTGTAGAGGTGTATATACATCTTGCACATCAGGAACAATGAGCATCAAAGGCTGCAAGGAAACAAAGGCCAAATGGTTGGTTTGAAATTACACATATCAAAGAATCATGCAGAAGCAAAATATTTTGAAACATTCAAAGAGAATAAGGTTTCTCTGGCAAGCTAACTGCACTAAAATGGCATATATATCTCTGAATGCATATTGCGATGTCTTCAAATATCACATAGAATATATAAAAAACGATGTCCATTCATAGAAAAAATAACTATCATTCATTAAATCATTTTAGGTTCCCAAAAAACATACAAAGAGATCAGGGTAAGGATTCAATGAAGAAGCCAATGACAAGTTTAAAGAAAATTTAAGTTACTAAGTTGTAAGCAGATCTCTCATCTTCCAAAGTTCAAAGTAATGGTGTCATTTTATGTGAGAAGATATGAAAGAAAACTTATGTGTGTCATACCTGCTGCTGAGCACGCTTAAGGCTGTAAAAGTGAATAGCGGAATCAAATGTGGCAATTCCAACCATTGTTCGAGGACCTTCCTACATAAGACAGAAAACAAAGGTCAGCAACTTCACAAATAAACCTTAATATGTCAACAGGTTTATTATGTAAAGTAACCAAGGCATCTATCAGAAACTACAGCCACTGTGAAGGAAGCATGACAAATTTTCTGTCACCAATTCATCATTTAAAATATTTAGAGTGACATGTAAAAAATATGCAAGTAATCCCTTAAAAAATAAATTCTAAAGTTTTACAGATATATTGTGAAAATAGTCAAAGATAATCTTGGGAACAGCAAAAAGTCCAAGAAGTCTTTTTTTTTGTGGGATTGGTAACAGCAATATGCCTGTCAATATTAGTACTTGCAGTAAGTGTGTCCTTTATTCAGGCCTGCCAATCAACTATGGGATGAAGCCATGATTTTCTATTGTTGAAACAATGACTGTTATCAAAGGATCCACACGATTCTAAGTCCACTATGTATCTCATAGAAATGTTGATGATAAAACAGAATAAAATAAATTTAAGATCAAGGCAATTCTTCAGATATTGAATTACTTTTACAAGTATCATGCACCTAGTTATCAATATTTAGCACTAAATAAAAAATCAAAATTAAAGTTACTTTTGAATCATAAAACTTCAAAAATTATTCATATGCAGGAAAATATATAGAAAAAGCTACAAAGAGCAGAAAATTCATACACCAACTGTTCAAATCTGCAAGGCTGGAACGAGTTTGGCGGTTGTGGCAGCTAGTTTTTATATTGCAATAAAGCCAAGTTGAGCTAATAGCATGCCAATTCTATGCAATGTATCATATATGTTTGGTTAGGTAGATTCAAGTAGGCATTACTCACCGGCAGATCTGAAATAGCCTGGGAAATCGCACTGCAAGCTGCAGCAGTTGAACCTGTTTGTATAGCATTCATGGAGACATCAATAAGAAAGAAATATACAGCAGGCATCGGGTCGCGAACCTGAAAGTTTATTATGATAATATTAGTATTGTTCGTAATCAAGAATCAAATGCAACAGCAGGTCTGTAGTTATATGATCTAGCGATCGCTGATGACAAACTGTACTTTTTGTGGCCCTACAGGTTGAAGATCCATTAATATACTTGTTTTGTTCAGGTGAACTGAATGGCTTCTCGGCTGTCGCAATAATAAATCGCTTTAAGATGAAACGAGCATGGTTTATAATAACCAAGGTAAACAGAAGCATCAGTTATGTATACTAAAATGCCTGTATTATCACAGTAAGTTCAGGCATAAGGCGTACAAACCAGAAATTCCTTGGAAGCGACAAATTCAACGGTTCCCCTGCATAGCTCAGGTCTGTCATCAGCATCACGGCGCCTACCATCAGGCCCTAAGTTGCATATGTACTCCCTAGGAGTATCATTGCTAAATCCTGCAGAGTTAGTGTACTGTATTATTATACAATAATTCCAATGAGCTTGACATGCTAAACAACGTGGCAAGAATCAAGATACTTGTTGACAAAATGGATAGGTAAGAAGCCAAATTATACTGGCTAAATCAGTGTTAGGATAACCAATAAAAGATGACTGGCCACAGACCAGAGCACACTACCTTTCTTTAGGCAAGAGCATGTTAAGAGTTTTAGACTTTAAGCATGACACACTGATTATTTTATACAAACTTATCGAATGCAAAGGTTTCAGAAGCAGGGGAAACCAAATATTTAGACGAGAAAGGGAAAGATTGCAGTTGTTCTGCTGTCCCATACTGCTGTGTAAGTTCTGGTTATGCCAAATGCAGCAGTCTATGCCAACCAAACAATAAAATTCTAAAGAGTAAATTAATAAACAATAAATAAAGATTAATTGAAATATGTGTATCTTTGACACTTACCACATAAATTACAGATAAAGCGCCTTCCTTGATCAACAAATCTCATGAAAGGATTTATGTATGCTTTGCAACGGGAACACCGAATAGGTCCCATGTCACCGAAGTCTACAAGCTAAAATATGGAGGAAACAGATCAAGGCTAGAAAAAATATACAGCAGAAGATTACACTACTGAAACAGCATTACATATTATAATTAACAAAAAATGAAGTTTAGATGTAAAGTAAAAAAAATGGCTGGAATCTGCAATTAATACAACTCCTGAACATATTAGATGAAGATCTATGAACTACACCAATTGCGGATTGCCAAAAATAATATTATGATCTATCTTCTTTTCTGTAGGTTAGGTGTGCTTGCATAGTTGCAGCTTTGCATATATCAATGTGTTTACAAGTTAAACCATTGAACTGTCATTGAAATTTAATTAAAGGTATGGCATTAGGATAATGAGATCAACATGTGTAATCATGCATAAGATCTCGCATCCGACATCCCCGGCCGAACGGTTAGGCAACACTAGGGCGCCTGGGTCCAAATTCCGTTTACCAAACAAGATGTCGAGAGGCGAAGTCTGTAATTCCCCCCCAGCAAAAGTGATAGCGGCTGTAGCATCCATGTGGAAGAGGGTAAGCTTTCGGCAACACCTTTTTCAGATTGGAAAGGATGAATACTTGTGTTGGGTCCCGCAGACCAGGATAGCCTCAGATCAAAACCTAAATGTGCCAGGGGTTGATCATAGAAGCCAGGGCAATAAGTATTCAGGAATTTGAGCGCTTATGTAGCTAATAACTCTGCCACCTGAATACTTGAATCATTAAATATCCACTCATATAGGGCCTGTTTGGGGAAGCTTAAGGCCCTGTTTGGGGGAGCTTGTCCCAGCTGCAGCTTTTTCCAAAAGCTGCTTCTGCTAGAAGCTGCCCCAAACAGTCCACAGCTTCTGAGAATCTGTAACTCTTGGCCGTGAACTGGGCAAAGGTGGTGAAGGCGCGGTTTATGATATCGAGGAGTTTGTCGATAGCGTCGCCAAGATTTATCACACGCCGCCACCCGCCTTAAAACAGGACAAACTTGCCTTTATGGCTGCGACAGCTGACGCGCAGTTGTTGAATTATGTCGCCTGGCCGCAGCAACGCTTACAAGTTCTAGAGGTGGTATGAAGTATGAACCAAAGGCATGCTTTTATAACAATAAAGGAGTAGGTAATATATGAACTAAATTGGTTGAGCTATATCCATGTACAATGTTTTCTCTAGGTGCAAAAAATGATATAAAGTACCTGAATAGGTTCCTCAGATGGGTGAGGAAGAGAAAACGGCTGAACCATTAGAGATAAAGGCATGCCTGATGTTGTCAAGAGGTCCCCTGTACAAGGTATCTGATAGCACACATATTAGCAATGACTAAGAAAGAAACAAATAACCCAGAGAAAACAAGAAAACAAAGATGAATGAACAGATTTACCTGATTGACAGTACACCGCATCAAACGGGGACTACAGTTCCCAGTGTCCTTCACGATAAATTCACTCGATGCAGCCTGTAATCAGTGACACCACTCTTATATTAGACAAAAACTCCTTTCTACGAATGAGAATTGACACCCACTTATGTAACTGAAGGTATAAGACATACCGGGGGAATAGCTGCTTGACCACCTTGACGGGTCTCAAAAATTATGACTGATGTTTCTGCCATTGGCCGTGGAATTTGATTAGGATCAATCTTGGATGGGGTTGAGACCTGGGTTCCAGCATGGGGAGAATATGGCATTGTGGGCATGGTAGGAGGCATCCCTTGGCCAAGTGTGTTTGGCGGCATGCCAGGCATTCTCATCGGTGGTTGCATAGCACCAGACCCAGCTCCCTACAAGTAATTTGATCAAGAGTGTCAAGACAATGTCTAAGGTTTCAAGCATCTCTGGCACACCACAAAAAGATATGCAGGAAAAGAATAATTATTGGTGACCAATCTCACAATCATAAGCGTATTATTCCTTAACAGTCAAATAACCTAGACAAAAATTAAGCTTTCAAACATGTTATCTAGGTTGAAATGAAAATGTACATAACCTGTTAAGCACTAAAACATCCAGATTATCATCAAATGGTTGAAACTGAAAAATAGATCAGAAGATACTAATTAATACAAACCAAATCTCTTTCTTACTCGTGGACGTGCATAAAGGATCGGTGCATTGATCGATAATCATGAATTCACATCATACCTATCCAATGCATAATGTTGAAAACTGGAGCGTAAATAACTTTTTTTTGGTCCATAATATTAGCCAGTTATAAACATATTTTAATAAGATAAAAGATGAGAGAGAATAGTAGCGGGCTACAGATCTATAACCAGCTGCAGCACGGACTCCAAGACGCAGTGTGTATATGACAGGTGGGACCATATATTAATAGTATATAGTAAGTAACTATTGTATGAATTAGCTATTAGATTGGCTATAGATGAATTGGAGCTGGTAGTGGGCTATACTATTGAACTTGCTCTTAGAGCACCCGCAATGGTAAAGTAAGGTGCTCTCTATAAAACATGTACATCTCAGCAATAGACTAGATTAATAGTAAACCACCTCAATAGTATGTCTACATGGGTATCTATAGCTCTCTCATGAATTGTCTCGTTTTTCTCTATAGACTATCTCTAAGTTAGTAGATAGCTTTGCTCTCTCTCTTCATTTAATATCTTTCAGGTAGGAAAATATGCTGACATGGATCTCTTGTAGAGAGCATATAGATAACCATTGTGGGTGCCCTTAACGGCAAATTGGAACTGCAGTAGTAGAGTCGCAAGAGCAGGTACAATAGCAGACTATTAGCCAGCTGTAAACATATTTTAATGAGATAAAAAATGAGAGAGAAGAGCAGCAGACTACAGATCTGTAGCCAGTTGCAGCGCGGACTCCAAGACACAATGTGTATATGACAGGTGGGATCATATATTAATAGTATAGTAAGCAACTATTGTATGAATTGGCTATTAGATTGGTTATAGATCAATTGGAGCTAGTAGTGGGCTATACTATTAAACTTGCTCTAGCCTGCTATTGTACCTGCTCTTAAGGTGTGGTCTCGGGTTTCACGTAGGCCGAGTTTAGTTCCAAAGTTTTTTTCAAACTTCCTACTTTTCCATCACATCCTACACACACAAACTTCTAACTTTTCTATCATATCATTCCAATTTCAACCAAACTTCCAATTTTAATGTGAACTAAACACACCCGTAGGCCGTAGGTTGGGATGCTACCTTAGAGGAAAGGAATGGTTCCATAGTGTGTTGGAGGAGTTTATAGAGGAAACTGTGGTTTTAGGAGAGAGGAAGCCGATTTGTGTGATCCATGACACTTCAATAAAGGATGAAAATTCAGAGAGATAAGAGGATGAGCCTAGATGGGGCCACCATCGGGGAGATGTCATGGTTTGCGTCTCTATGGAGGGACAAAAAGGAGAAAAGTTAGGATAAGATATGAGATTGCATTGCAGTGAGTAGTGAAATGACAAGTCTTATATTATGCTGCCAAGAAGATGAGATGGAAGGCTCGGGTTGGCAACAGGGCGGATGTTGGGCCAAATTCCCTCCACATGGAGCATTGCTCTCAGCCCATGTGCAGCCCAAAAATCCAAAGAATCTGAGCCATTGATTCACTTCTTGAATGGATGGTGAAGATTGCCTCATCTCTTTGGGGATGAGAAGAAAAACCCTAGCCTCCTTTGGGAGAGTGTGAGCAGCAGCAGCCATTGAGGGATAAAAACAAGCCAAGCAAGAACATAAGAGAGGAGAGGAGAGTGGAGAAGAAGGTGTGCGGATTTTCAGCTTTGGTGGCTCTAACCCAATCTTCATCAAGTCAGGATTGGAAGGTCAAACGTGCTTGGATCAACACCAAACTTGGTGAGTTTGTTCCTCACTTGGTGAACTTCAATCTAGCCAGTTTTGGTGGGGATTGGTTAAGTAGAGCATCAGATTTGGGTATGGTTTCTTCAGCTCGAGTAACTGTAGTTTCAGCATGTACAATCCACGGTAGAATGTCAGTTTGAGGGGTCAAACGGTGTCCGATTGGGCTAGTTTTTTTATACTTCCTCTGTTTCACAATGTAAGTCATTCTAGCATTTTCCATATTCATATTGTTGTTAATGAATCTAGATAGATATATATGTCTAGATTCATTAACATCAATACGAATGTGGGAAATGCTAAAATGACTTACATTGTGAAACGGAGGGAGTATCTTGGAAGGGACTCATAGACCATCATTTCTGCCAAGTTTCGTGCAATTTGCATCTGTGGTTTGAGAGATCTCAGCTGAGAACCAAAGCTGTGCCATTTCTCTATTTGTTTGTTGATATACCTCTTGTTAGCTTTAATGATTGGTGTTGATGATGTCAAGTGTGTAGCTTGATGTTATGGATGTTGTTGTGATGTGCCTCTGGATGTTCTAGAGAAGACTCCATTTGTACCCATTGTTGATTATAGTGGAAGCTTGGAGTGGACCGTTAGTCCCATGGTTTTTTACTCCTCACACCGAGGAGGTTTTTCCACGTAAATCACCGTGTCTTGTGCGCGTGTTTTTATTGTTATTCCGCTGTTGATTTGCTAGTTGAAACTATCATCAAAGTTCATGGCAAGATGAGGGGTTGATTGCGTGAAATATGTTTGCCGGTTAGTGAATTGTAGTTTGCACATTGAAAGTGTTTTGGTTCAGCCCCAACAGCGAGTTGGGTTGAAACGCCCCCGCCCTCGCTCCTCGACTTCTCCCCCCGGCCTCGGCCCCGCAGAGGTGGTCTGGTGGGAATCATCACCCGTCCATGTCCCTGCAAGGGACCCGACAAGTGAGCAGGGCCTCATTCCACCCGGCTGGGCCACTGGGGCGATGACCGAGGAGTACCGATGAGGGGCAGCGAGGATGGCGCGAGCTCCAGTGACACAGCGAGTATGGCTCGGGACGGCGACGCAACCATGACGGCTAGGAACGACTTTGACGGCAGACGACAACGAGGTGCCCAGCGAGATGAGGAGGCACGGCTGGGCCTAGGGCCTAGGGCCTAGGGGCGGTTGTGGGGTGGTTGATGACTAGGCGCCACTACTGCTGCCGTAGCGGATATGCCACCCCTAGAAGCGCTTGGATGCTGACGCCACCACGTATGCTGCACCCTTGGCCGTCGCCATTGACTCGGATGGCAGCGTGTGGCCGCGGCCCACGCCTTGGCCATCGACGTCGACGCGGATGGTTGCGCGTTGCCGTCGCTGCCCGCGCCATGGCCGCCGACACCGTCGCCCGCGCTTGGCTGTTGCAGGAGGAAGAAAGGCCGGCCATCGGTGGAGAGTGGCAGCTATGTGCGGTGAGGAAATGAGGATAGGGTAGAGGGTAGGGACATTAGGGTTTAGCTTTATATATCACTAGAACAAATGCGCGTGTGTTGCAACGGGTGAACATTATTTTAATCTTATTATTGTTATAAGGTTTAGTTCTGTGAGAATTCGGTTGGATATATTTCTGTTTTTAGAAAATTATGAGCTGTAATTAGAAATCCGATTGTCTCAAGTTAGCATGCGAGTTTTTCTAAGAAATTTCTTATATGATTCATTCTATATTTTCAAAAGCGAACGGACTTAAAAATAGAAAAATGACTCAAATACGAATATGTATTTCCAAAAGAAAACGAACTTAAAAATCGACTCATACACGGATGACGTACTAAAGTACCGGAAAAAAACATCTTCAATTTTTATAATAGTAGAGATATGCTAGATGGGCCTTTTGGGCTTGCAATATGCTAGTATTAATAGTTTGATATACATCCTCGGGGCCCTGTGGGTCACCCGCGAGTGGCTGTCCTCCCGGCCCCGACCCCGACTCTCTGCAGGTCGAAATCAGCACCCGTCCCCGCCCCTGTAGGGGCAGCTGGGCAGGTCCTAGCCCCACAGGAGAAAATGCCACCCCTATCCTTGATCATTGGTGAAGAAAGAGTAAGTGCTATAAGAAAATGCAAGTGGTAAGAGCAAAGCTTTTGATAGCATATGTGGTATTAGTAGCGAATGCTTTTGGTGGGTGGTTTTTATCTTCATCATAGATTGAAAAGGTGCGAAAAGATAGAGAAATCCGTCGATTTTTTTGGCTTAACTTTACCAAGCACATAAATCTAAGAGGCATGAACTTGCTTGCTTTACTTTATCGGATGATTTTCTTAGTAGAGTCAGAGTATGTTGGGGGATGATGATCTTATTTTTATTTGATAGTTGCTGGCTGCCATGCTAAATAATAATAATGAATAGTATTTATTTTTCTAGGATAGTAATAAATAGTATTAATATCCCCAAATATCTTTTTAAATGAATAATAAGATATTAGCTTCTTTTTTACCGATAGGTGAACTCCTATCCATTGGGGTCACCATGTCTGTGAGAAAAGATTTATATTTAGACCGATGGAGTAAATTACTTGTGCCATTTCTATCATTGCAACGTATGCACTCGTCAGTAGTTGTGCACTCATGCATTTGGTCATTATATAAATCCTTTGATCTTAATATGAAGGACCACATCCAATTAGGGTAATTTTTCATAAAACCGCCCGCTTCAGCACTTGTAACTTTATGAATAAGTTTTTTGTACTTTTCTTTTCATCTTCAGCTCCTCCCCGGACCCCGAACCATCTAGAAGCCTCTTCCTCCTGTTCGTGTCACATCAGCGTCTCTAATCTCCGCAACAACTATGCTTGTGGGAGATAGCTTGCCTAAGAGATGGAAACGAAGATCAAGTTCCAGTCTTCCATCTCAAATCTCTCTCGTTCCCTTACATTGGTGGACATCGATGATATCCGCTCGACCAATCAAGGGACTCCTTTAGCGTACATCCACGTTCTTGACTAAATCTGTCAGATCTACTTCTCTCGGTTTGTGGCGTTTGCAGCATTGAGGGCGCAGCTGCAAGCTTGCAACCAAGCGACAAGGGTAGTGTGCTAGCTCTCCCGTATGGTTTCCATCACTGCGCTTGCCGGAGGTAGCATTGAGGGCGTTTCCATCTGATTATATCTTGCTAGCTTTTTGTATCTGTTTCAGAGAAATTGTTGGATTTTTCGAGTTTTGTTTTGTCTCAAACATCATGAATTTAAACTGATTTTGCTCATCCATTAGATATTTAGAGAACTTCAACTAGCAGCCTAGCATTCTCTCAAGTCTCAATATGCATTTGAATCTATTATGATAGATTTATTCAAGATTATTTATGGTATTGTCAGGGTTATGGATACCACATACCTAATAGTAGTCGACTACATCTCGGCAGGACCCACCACATACCATGTCTTATACGGAAACTGACCTCGGATATGGAGGGAAATCCGGATAAGGAAAGACAACCAGAGTTCTACATGGAAATAACAAGGATTACTCGGATTGTATCCATACTGGTTTCCCTAGTTCTACTTAGACAAGGGGACACCTATGGGTATAAATACAAGGCCCCCTAGGAGGAGAGGGGAGACAATCAACATACACGGAACAACAGAAGCCACAACATATAAGCCAACATACGGCAAGACAAGACGCTGGATATCGACTTTAGGGATAAGCACGGCTAGTCCCCTACGGTGTCTCCGGATACTGTCAGGAGAGACGAAAGCGCTATCTCTGATCTTGCCGGGCACGGATTCGAGGAGGAAGACTACCTTGTTGTCGACTACGATTCAGACCGCCATATCGACAACAGTTAGATATGCTACCCAAAATATTGTACTGGTGTGATTATGATGAATAAGAGCAATGACCGGCTTCGGCCAACAGGATGTAGGGTTATTACCTGGCAATTCAGGGACCCGAACCTGTATAAAATCCTCGTCCCCATATCCTAGTACCAACGATCCCTATACTATGCAAATACCGGAATCACGACATCAAACGTCGACAGGTATAAATTCTGCTTTCGCCTAGCTAGCAAGCATAAACCAAATTAGTAGAGTTGTTCTTTTGTTTCCTTTGAGATTACTAACTGAAATGCAAAAGCTTTTGTTTGTCTTCTCCATTCAAGACTGAAACTCTGAACTGAAAACAACATTTTCTTCTACGCTTGTTATTTTACCCTTGATTGCACATAGCCAAATGTATTCATAGCATCATGTTCTTGCCCAATCAGAACCGTTTATCTCACAAAAAAAGTTACATCTATAACAACCTCATGTTCCAAGTGAGAACTATAGATATCTTTTCATAGGGACTTTGGCTAATGAAGCATCATGTTCTTGCCTAATCAGAACCGTTTATCTCGCAAGAAAAAGTTACATCTATAACAACCTCATGTTCCAAGTGAGAACTATAGATATCTTTTCATAGGGACTTTGACTACACGAATATTGAAATCCATCTCCGGTGAGCATGGTCGTCGAGAGGATTTGAGCTACCACCGTAGTCCTACAGCATCGAGAGGGAGAAGCGTGAGCTATAGATATCTTTTGACAAGGATTTTGGCTACTGGATGTATGAATATTGAAATCTATCTCCGATGAGCATGGTTGCGAGGGGATTCGAGCTGCCATCGTAGTCCTACAGCATCAAGAGGGAGAAGTGGCACCTGGATCTGGATGGCTAAGTGAACAAGATACGTTGCCTCCTATCATAAGGTTCGTGTGGATCTATTTGTAAAACTGTCTTCTCAAAAGGTCAAAAAATGCAAAAACTACAGCTCCGCTAAAAACCTAGTAGGCCGGCTGGGCCTTGACCCCGGCCCGGCCCAACAATCCATCCACCAATATAAAGAGAACTCAAGGCCATCCACCCCCATCCCTAGCTCCCCCACTCTCGTTTAGGGTTTCCCTCCGCCGCCGCCGCCTCCCGCATCCACGCGCCTCCTCCTCCTCCGCCGCCGCCGCCGCCACCGCAGCATCAGCCATGGCCGAAGTGGAGCTCCCGCAGCAGGAGGTCAAGCTCTTCAGCCGCTGGTCCTTCGAGGACGTCCAGGTGCGTTGGTTCCCCTCTCCTCCGTGCTCCTCCCTCCTCTTGGGCCCGGTCGCTAACCGCGTTCTCCGGCGGCGGCGGCGGTGCAGGTGAACGACATCTCGCTGGCGGACTACCTGGCGGTGAACCCGACGAAGCACGCGACGTACCTGCCGCACACGGCGGGGAGGTACTCGGCGAAGAGGTTCCGGAAGGCGCAGTGCCCCATCGTGGAGCGCCTGACCAACTCGCTCATGATGCACGGCCGCAACAACGGGAAGAAGATCATGGCCGTGCGCATCGTCAAGCACGCCATGGAGATCATCCACCTCCTCACCGACGCCAACCCCATTCAGGTCATCGTCGACGCCATCATCAACAGGTAACCCCCCCTTTCGCGCTTCGCTCGCCCAATCTCTTTCGAACCAGTAAAATTTTACCGGGATTTGTTAGAACACCACACGAGAATTTATCTGAGAATACTAGATTTGGGGGGGGGGAACAAAGGATCACAACCTGTGTGCCATCCTGTTACATTTTTGTGCCCTTAGCTTTCCACAATTCGTCCCTTCCATGCCACTCCATGTAGTAACGTAGAGCTGTGCTGCGCCGCTGTATGTTGTTGGCCAATGGTGCTCTTGGATCGTGCTCTCGCCGCGTGTTATGCGCTGCGCCGCTGTGTGTGCCGTGGGCGCGGTATAGAGCTGTTGGAGCATGCGGCGAATGTGTATCGCTGTGAGTAGTAGGGCACAGGGTGGGCTGGTGTTCTGCTTTGGCATCCTGGTTGAAGCAGTGCATGGCGCGGCGCAGCGCGGTGTTGGTATGCATGTTACTTGAATCAGATGCGATGAGTCGTGTAGATCTGTTTCTCTCATCATGCGGTGTTGGGAGCAGTTGATCAGTGGATGTGAGGAGGCATGGGACTAAATTGATCAGGGAATGCGAGGAGGCTTGACGTTGTGGATGTGGATAAACCCAGTAATGGGGTGAGGATGTTGTAGAGGCAAAAATAACAGAATTGTATTATATTGAAGAAATCTTTTGTACTAGTAGCATTCAAATCTAAAAAAATGTAGGTTGCATTTTTAAAGCGCAATTGTTATTATGGTGTATTTCAAATTTTGCTCATGGTTTTCAAGCATTAGTGTTTATCTCCTCCCTGTTGGTATATATATAAATACATTATTCTGTTGCTGTGGTATCTAAAATACATGATTAGTTTTGGTATTTAGTGATTATGAATGTTGGATATGAATTATCTGTGTTGTTTGCAGTGGCCCTCGTGAGGATGCGACCCGTATTGGGTCTGCGGGTGCTGTGAGGAGGCAGGCTGTGGATATCTCTCCCTTGAGGAGGGTCAACCAGGCAATCTACCTCCTCACCACTGGTGCCAGGGAGAGCGCCTTCAGGAACATCAAGACCATTGCTGAGTGCCTTGCTGACGAGCTTATTAATGCCGCCAAGGGCTCATCCAACAGGTACAACACATTGTCATGGTACATCTTGCTTTTTGTTCGGATGATACCAGGTTATTGACACATCTGTGATCTAATTGTGTTTCAGCTATGCCATCAAGAAGAAGGATGAGATCGAGCGTGTTGCCAAGGCCAACCGTTGAGTGGTGATCCCATGTCATTGTGCTAAAGCTCTTGCGCTGTTTGGCAGGACTATACTTTTTGCTAGTAATTTAAGCCTTTTCAGACCTACCTGTGGTTTAATGTTTGAATGAACATCACTAGTGCTGAGAAAAATATGTAGTGCTCTATTCTATCTATCTATCGACATGGTTTTATATTGAACCCGCAATTCCCGTTCCTTCATAATCTGAGTTCCTTGATGCGTGCTGAATGGCTCTGCTCTGGTTATATGTTGTTTACTTGTTTGAATTGATGAACTGAAGATGATAATTGATAGATTTTGAGTGCATTACTGTTTTGATCTTGATTCAAGTTCTTGAGATGATGATGCTCAATTTAATACTAGTATATAATGTGACCATAACTTTTGTTTATATCATATGGTGTCATACCAATTTAATGTCTGGTTGCTCTTAGCCGAGCTGACATTGTTTGTGTTGGTGGATATGATTAGCTGGATTTAGTGGTTAGGATTGTCATAGATTGTTATCTTCCAGTGCTTCTCCAAATTCTGTGACATGACGTCTATAAGGCATGTTTGTTTGCTTTGGCCAAGAAGCTTTGGGTAAAACTTTTGGAATCTGGGAATTTTATGCTTAATTTAGAATTAATTTATTTTTTTTTCACTATCGGCTCCTGGCATTAGCTATGGTCGAAATTATGAGGGAGCTATTGCTTTTTTACCCTCATTTTGAAGTCCAATTGTGATTTTGTCCTCCCTTTTTAGAGCTTGCGTTTTTGCATCTGTTTTATTGAAACGAAACAAAGTTTTACCCATTGTTTGGATGGTCAATTTAACGTTGTTAAGTTGAGCACGAAAACACATTTATGCCCTTGCTTACTATTGTACATTTACCCCTAATTTTGCACAGCACTTGTGATTTTATCCCTAGTTTGTGTATGAAAACTGTAACTGTTTTGAACTGACATTTTGTGAAATAATTCAAATCTGAACTGATTTTTACAAACATTGACATAAATTGAACAAAATTTTGCACACCGGTTTCATCACAAACAGGATCAAAACATTTATTTTACAAAATAAATTTCGGAGCAGCACACCTCAACCATTCTAGCGCTGTTTAATTCATAGCAAAACTGTGCAAGCATCCAGCTTGCATGAACTCATAAAGGAACAAATCGACAAAGTGAGTTGCAGTGTTGCACACGAAGTGTTAAACTTAAGTAGTGACATGTGGGCCAATAGGAAGTGATTATAATGGTAGTGATATTATCATTATGGTAGATGATCCGAACGGCCATCTAAACTTATAATATCGTAGCTACCTGGAAATTACCGAACACAACACTGAAAACAAAATTACTGAATTACCTGTGGCACTGAATATCAGTGTGCCAATATAAAAAAAAAATCAGTGTGCCAACATAGCTGATAGTAGCATATTAGAATTACCTATAGCACTGAATACAGCCCGTGCTTTGCAACTTCAACGACTTGTGTGTGAAATTACTCCATCATGTCCATCTAGCTCCAAACAGAGGGGATGCAAACGGCAGCCCAGTACCAGTCAAGGGTTTGAGTGAAACCTGATCACACAAGACTGACAATTTAAGGTATAGTCCATTGTCCAGTTGTGGTCTGATGTAGTTCTTTTCCTAGGTGGAAGTTTAACTTAACAGTCTCCACCAAAACACTGGTATATCAAACAGGTTCAACTTTGAGAACATTTCTTATGAGCCGTGAAATTTGGTGGGGATTGTTAGAATAAATGGGCTATGCCTGATTTTTCTATTAAAATCTCAAGGGCCCATAATAAATGTTAAAGATAATAATACCACCCTGGAAATTAAAAGTGGAGTATCTCAACTTAAATAGGGAGTTATTGGAGGCTCCCTGTTGACCGGTTGAGGTGGGGATCGGAAAGCCACGCGCGCGAGCCGAGCCGGGCGAGGCGTGGCGTGGCGTGCGCTGCGTCTACGTCTCTCCCTCGAGATCCTTTTGCAACGGTTCAGAATTCAACTCCGACCTCCGATCTAGATCTCTCTACGCATTCTTCCCATCGCTGGTTGCTCTTCCACTGTGTGCCTGTGCTGCTTCTGTTCTCCCCGGTTCTGATCACTTGCGTGCACGAGTGATTGGGACGAGCAGGGCCTCCGAAATCACACCTTCGCCTGAGATTCGCACCGGGTAGGCGGGTGATCAGGATTTTGGGGAGTGCTACCACACGACTGCTCCTCTTTCTTCATCGTTGTTCTTTTCGATCTGCATCGCAATGTCTAGTGGTGGCAGCGTCAACGGAGGTGCGCCAGGAGCAGGAGACGCACCGATCGACAACACCAACGGAGGCAATCCTGCCTCACAAACTAGTGGAGAGACTTTTACATGGTATAACATCCTTCTGCTACCTTTGTTTTTGTTACATCTGTTAGTCGCAATGTTATTGCGTTGTCTCAATGATGTTGATGCTTATTTTATCTTAAGCATGCTCCTGGTTATGCTTAGTTTTATCACTAAATCACCACACATTGTTCATGTCATGTTTATTGTCTTAATATTTTGGATTAAAATATGCCGATATATGACCATATTTCCAACAGAGACTTCTCTGGTCAGTGCGAATAATGAACTCACCACATTGCAAATATGAACGCCAATGATCAACAGCAAGCAAGATCGCTAAGCATTTCTTTTCATATGTCGAAAGACCACGATTCCGAGGACCCAATGCCTTGCTCAAGAATGCGAGCGGATGTCCGTCCTGCATGAGCACCGCCCCAACTCCAATAGCTGATGCATTCGTCTCAATCTCAAATGTTTTAGAGAAATTCGGCAGCGCTAACACAGGAGTAGAAGTCAGCGCCACTTTCAGTGCTTCAAAAGATGTCTGAGTTTCAGATGTCCAGTGAAATACCACATGCTTCTTAAGTAACTCAGTTAAAGGTCGACTCAGGATCCCAAAGTGTCGAACAAACTTACGATAATAGCCCGCCAATCCAAGGAATCCTCTAACTTCCTTAACATTAGTAGGCACTGGCCAATTCAAAACAAATTGTATATTCTTCGTATCAGTTGTAACACCGTTAGCACTGATGACATGCCCCAAGTAAGTAAGAGAAGGCTGCGCAAAGACACACTTAGAACGCTTGACTTGCAGTTGATGTGCTGAAAGAATCTCAAACACAGCTCGCAACAATTTCACATGTTCCTCCAAAGTGCAAGTATAAATCAGAATATCATCGATGAACACGAGCACTCCCTTGCGCAAATAAGGCTCAAAAATAGTATTCATCACACCTTGGAAAGTTGTTGGAGATCCAGTTAATCCATAAGACATGACTCACAACTCATAATGCCCTTGGTGTGTCTTAAAAGCAGTCTTATGTTCATCCTCCGATCTCATACGGATTTGATGGTAACCAGCACGCAAATCCAAACTTGTTAACCAACAAGCTCCAGCCAATTCATCGAGTAACTCATCAATGATTGGCAAAGGATAATGGTTCTTAACTATAATAGCGTTGAGATGACGATAGTCCATACAAAATCGCCAACTACCATCCTTTTTCTGCATGTAACGCCCTAAATTTTGCCCTAGTTAAAGTCGGAGATCGATCTCAGTCCCTCCCCGAAATCTTTTACAAAAATCTGCATCATGTCGATTCTTCAGTCGAGTTGCTTTTTATTTGATGATCCTCTTATGCCAAAATCTTGAACCCAAGCCTCCATTTGTTGTTTTTGTTTTTCTTTTCCTTTTAAAAAAAGAAAAGTTATTTATCCTTGTTTTCTTCTCCTGTTGAGCCAACCCATCTAAGGACCATCTGTGGAAGTCTATGTTTGCCCCCTCCAATTTCTATTCTCAGGAGAAAGTCTAAATTTCCTCCCTCCATCCTTCCTCTCCCTACACCGTTTCCTCCCATGGATGGCTAGCACTGAGCTCGGCTCAACCGAGTCGAGCCAGCCTTGCAAGCCAGGCTCGATCCCCTTTCCTTTTTCCCCTCCTTCCCGGTGACGCCGTGCCGACCGCCGATTCCCACTGTGCCGCCCTCCCTGCCTCTTCTCCGGCGGTCGCTGCGACAACCCCGCTGGTGAACTCGTCGCCTTCTCCCCTATTCGCTCCCAGGCCGGCTACCGCAGTGCCACCGAGCCGTTGCAGGGATTCCGCTTCCCTCGCTCGGCTTACTACCTTGCCCAACGGCATGGAGGAACGGCCGTGGCCATCAATGCCATGCCGTATCGGCCGGTACAGATGGTTGGCGACGGTGGCTCAGCTACCCCGGGCGACGGCGTCATGCGAATCGCGTTGCTCTGTCCCCGCGCGGTCCAGCACCTCGCCGCCACGCGCCCTGCTGCACAGGGAGGCCGTCCCGTTGCCCCCGCCACCTCGACATTCCCCTGCGACGGCGATAGCCTAGCACACGGAGGCCGCATTCAATGCGCCGTCATCCGCTTGGCACGCGCCCGCGCACTATATATATACCTCCCCACGCCATGCGCCCCCAATCCATCCCTGTCTCTACCTCATCTCGCTCTCGTTCTTCTCCACTATCACTCCTTGCACTTTGGCTGTCACCGCTCCGCTTGCTCCGCCTCGGCCTGCCTCTGGCCGGAGCTTAGGTTGAGCAAGATGGGGGAGGGGGGGGGTAGGTAGTTGCGCCGTGCACGGGACGAACGATTGAACCCTAACTAAATCATCTAAAACTTGTAATCCAATCGATCGAACGTTTTCGAACCCCCTTTGAACCCAAACGAACACAGACGGTCACCGGTCGAACACTTGAAGCGCGAGGACGAACCACGCGCTCAACCTTCACCGACCGTTGTTTGTCCGTGACTTCGTCGGTGTGCTGCTTCCCGGCTGCCGCACGGTGAGCACCCTCTTCTCGTTCCCTTCCTTCCACCCTCCCCTCGGCCGTGTCTTCCAGTGATATCGTAGCCACCGTGACGCGGCGTCGCCAATGGGCTAATCGTCGCGTCCGTTTTTTGCAATGGCCGCCACCTCGTCAGTTGTTGCGCTCGGACGCTAGGTCCCCAACATCGTGCCTACCGAGCTTGCCACGCCTCCATGGTCTCTGGTTCAACCGCGCCACGGGAACGCGTGCGTGCACGCGCAACGCTCCGTGGTTCTGTTCGGGATGCGCACGGCCCGGACCAACTGGCTACCGCCGTCTAAGCTGTCCCGAACCGCAGGAGTGCGCCAAAGGGTACTTAGCGTTCGCTAGTAGTAAACCCCTCACCGTTTGGCACCTATT